CGTAAGTTTTCTCCGCTGAACATCGCAGAGATGAGTTTGTTCTGATGCTCTCGGTTGTTTTCGGGGAAGTGAGGCAGGAATTTTTTTAGGTGGTCTTGCTGCGCATCTGTCAGCACCTCCTGCCACGTAGACAGGCTGACGACGTCAAAGAAGATCTCGGGCTAAAAAAAAAAAAAAAGGCAAAAAAACGATAGCGAAGAAAATGCATCTGCGTCCTTGACAGTTCCCTAGCTTTTAAGGCTTTCTGTGGTTAAATTACACAAGTCAGGAGGCAGCGTCTCACCAAACGCAGAACGTAAAGAGGAAAGGCCAGGAAACTAACGGGACTGTTGGCAACATGAAAATCAAAACTTCTAACAAACAAAACCTTCCCAAAGGCGTGTTTACAATAAGACAGATTGTTATCTAGAAAAAGAAGATAACAGAACGGTTTAAAAAGAAGTTTCCCAGAGATTAATCAAAGCCCTTTTTGACACCTTTTGGGGACAGTCAGAAACACTTCCCTTCTCTGGTTTGCTCTGTAAGCCCCACAAAGGGAGTTAAACATACTGTTTATCAAGGCAAAGTATCTTAGCGCTACTCACGTCCTCCAGAAGGTCCTCAGGCAGACTGACTCTGGTGGTCCCCAGCATGCAGTCCTCCATGATGCGTGTGCCATTTCCTTCCCCGCAGGGCCCCAGCTCCAGGGGGTCCGTGAGCATGTGATCCAGAGAGTCCATGCTTCACCCTCTCCCGGCTCCTGCAGAACCAAAAATTCCCAAACCCAGGTACATCCCCAGCTGAGGAATGACTGAGAAGCCCAAGTTTGATGAAGGGGTTGTTTAAACTCCAGCTACCGACTCGGGCTGGGAGACAGGTACGATATTACAGCGCTAATTTACTGTTCAAATGCAACACGAGTCAGGCCAACAGAGAAACAGTTCTCCAGCCAGCGTGTACAGGCGGAGTGGGAAGTACAGGTGACCCATTCCCCTTGGCTTCCCGCCTGCAGGGGCTGATGTCAACAAACACCGCGAAAAACTCGCACCTAGAACCGTGAAAGCTGTTTTAACGGGCAAAAGCGAAGGGCAGGCCTAAGGCAGGGCTGCTGTGGGGCGGACCGGGCAGCCCCGGCTGGGCCAAGCGCCCTGTTCCCCTCACGCACCGCCTGGAACCGCTGCGCAGCTCCAGCCCCGGAGGAAAACGCCATCGACCGCGCGGAATAAATCCACAGGGGAACAAAAGAAACCTTTCCAACAGGGTCGGGCAGCAGGAAGCCATAGAAAAAAAACCCTCGTTTCATACCCGCTG